GCCTTCTTCAAGTCTTAGCATGCCTCTCCTGAGGCACAGAGATTGTATCTAGTTGACCATCTAAGGAAAAGCAAGTTCTGCTGCCAGATTATTTGATTTCCTCACCCACCACAACTTACAAGTATTTCATTCACAGGCAATTTTGTTCCAAAATATTTATCATTACATCAACCTACTGCAGCTAACTTCATAACAATAGGGGAAACATTCATAAAAAGATTGAGCATTCTACCATGGGTCTAGTAAATTGAGCTAAAATACTTTGTGTGAAATGGCCAGACTATTCTAGTACATATATGACTTGGCCTAACAAGTATATTCTTGGACTATAAATTAGTTTCCTATGGCATGTAAAACTCCATTAAAAATGAATTTCTTATAATAAAGTGTTTATGATGTCTGAAAGTGCTATGAAAAATCAATTGTACTTCTTATAGTAATCTTTGTCAGAAACCAGTATTGGTAGAATCCTTTTATATTTTAGTTACTTGTCACCTGTTTGGGCTGGGCCTAATGGCAAAACTGTCCCCATTACTGAATTCAGGAAATGATTGGGCATACATTTCCGATCTTGATTAGACTCCTAAGCCCATGCTCTCAGCCTCTCTCTAATCTCCCTCAACTAGACAACTCCATTAGAATCTGGCAATGTTCCTTCTGGCTAACATTGCCAGGAAGGAGAAAAACTTCAAAGCATATTTTTTTCTGCTACCAAGATGCCAAAATGTTGCCTTTCCCTGTACTTCTGTATGATCCAAAAACCCAATTGAGCGAACATTTACAGGGTTTTTTCCTCCATGTTAAGCAGTAAGTCAGGTGCTAGGGTTACAAATAAAATACAATCAGACTCTGCCTTCAAACAATCCAACAAGCAGAAAATCCTCTTATGTACTACCAATGCTATAACACTCAGTAAGATTCAAGTGTGTAGAGGAAAAGTTTGGTAGAGGTATATATGATACCTTCTTTCTTTCTTTTTGGAGTGCAAGAAAAAAAATATGTGAAAAGGGGGGGTAAAGACAATTGGGTAGAAACAATATACTTCAAACATTTAACCCAAATCTTCAACGGATTTCCCATTTTAAATATTCCAAAAAGTTTATCATTGTATATTACACTAAACGCAGATTCACCAATCACTTAAATTTTTTAAGCTTAAAAAAAATGTGGGACATTAATATTTTCAACAAAAAATAAGATTTATGCACAATCACACCAGTCAAAACACTTCAACTTTCTACCATGTATGTATTGAACTCTGTTCAATATCAGAATGTGTCTAAATTTCAATATGAATAGTCTACAATGATAAATACTGGAATGAAAAATCTGCTACCCATTGCAAAATTAATGGCTAGGACACAAAAAGCTAGAGAAATGGCAGTGCAGGGGAGAGAGGCTAAATGAGACAAAATGTATTAAATCTCTTTCAAATGTGCTGAGACGCTAAATTAAGGTTAAAAAGATTAGGATTCCAAGAATACAAAGTGTTCATCTCTTTCAAGACAACTAAGTACTGAATCTCACTGTGATTATGAAATATTCTATAAACATGTGCTTAACTTATGCTTGGCTTTCCTAATTTGATCACAGTGAACAGCCAATTCTTTTTCCTTGTTTATACCTAAAGCTGGTTTTAAAGACAACTCAAAATGGAATTCCAGGCCCAACATTACCACCCCCCTACTTTTACCCCACAGGCAGCTACTTAACAGATAATAAGGAATTCAAGTGCAGGGCCTGAAAGTCGTATTTCTATGCTAATTTCACAACCCCGTTACTCGCAGGATCTGACAATTAAGGCTTAAAAATGGGGCGCGGGGGTTTGAGGATAAAGCGGCTCTCTCAAGGCTTGCTTATTTTTTAACTTCCAAAATTAAAACTGCAAGAAATTATCCAGTTACCAGTAGAATTTACAACAGCTCAAACTTGAAGTTGAAACAATTACCATGTTTCACTTTCTTTTTTATTGCGGGGGTGGGGGAGAGGGCGAGTCCTACTATTTCGTAAACTTGAGCAGTCATTTTCTTCTCCCTCTGCTGACACATTTTTTTATGCCCCCCAAATAAGTTTAGCCTATTAGCATTCCTTCCCCGAAGGCCAGCGGGAATGGTTTAGAAAGCTGGTATTCAGAAATCCCAAGTGCCTCTAAGTGGCAGCAGGTGCTGGCAGTGTCGGGATCCGATCAATGGAGGGAAGGCAAGACATTCCTTCTAAATGGAGGACTAGAACCGCCCTTCCAAAGCATCCCAGGGGCGCTTCGAGCATCACTTGGCGGCACTCAGAGCCAGGAGGAGGATGCGGCTTTATCTCGACAGTGTCAGCTCCACAGAGCGCCCCAGCCCGCATCACATACGCGATCAGATTCGCGATTACATCTCCTCCACGCTCCGGCACGCGGGTCGGGGCACAACTCCCCCTCTGCATCCCCTCAAGTCCCCCAATTTTGCCCCTTCTCCCACCTCGTCCCCCGCCCCCAGCCGAGCGCAGGGTGGCTACGCGGTGCCCCTGGCCACAGGGGACGCCGCTCCTCCAGCATCTCCAGGGACTCATGGGGTACCGGCACCGGCCAGGGCATCGCTCGACCCACCTTAACTTCCCAGAGGCGCCAATTCTAAATTCGCCGGACCCGCCGCCGCTGCCGCCACCTCCTCCTCCACGCGCCCCTAGGCTCGCTCCCCTCAGTCCGTCGGCAGCCCCCTCTCCCTCCCTCAGGACCCCTGCGCCCTGCGCGGCGGGAAAACGCCTCTAAGTGCCCCGGGCCCTGGGGGCTCCCGTCGGATCTCTGCTCCAGCAGGGAGCCTCGCTCCGCCAACCGCCGCAGCCGCGCGCGCCTCTCACGCACACTCACCAGCCCGAGCCGGAGCGGCCATCTTAGCGCTCGTCTCCCGCGCCCCCCTTCCCCGCTCCCCGGTGCCGCGGCGACAGCAGCAGCAGCGGCGGCGGCGGCGGCCCGGTCGGGCGGCTACGTCAGCGGTGACGCCGCGGCCGACCCCGCCTCCCTCCCCTCCCAAGCCTTCGGAGGGCCCGAGGGGGCGGGCCGCGCTGCGTGGCGATTGCGGACCCGTGGGTTGCCGGCCTGAGGCGGAAACCCGCGCCCGGGCTCCGACTGGGCGTCCGGGGATGGACGTCCCCCGGCGCCGCCTGTGGCTCTGCGCGGGCAGTAGAAGCTCCTCTGGGGCGGCCTTCGCACCTGTCGTAGCCGTCTGGGCCTGGGAGGGGGCATCCAGTGTTTCTTCCCAGCCAGTGAGATGCACAATATCCCCCGGGCGTCCTTACTCCTTCATAGAATTTCTGCCACTCAGCGCCGAATTGGTTGACAGAAACGCACGCCAATCTCGTTGTCGTCAGAATCTGCCCAAATTGGCGTAGAAAGTTTTCACGAAAACGTTTCCTTCTCGAGGATGCACTCAGGTGTGAGCTCAAGTGGCGGCGACTGCTTTGAATTTGGCTTCTTCAGACGGCAGTCGGGCAAGGAACGTTCCAGAATGGGAAACTCCCTGAGAAATCAGAGGTAAGTTATACGAAAGTCACCTCTGTCCAGCGTTACTTTACCGGAAATTGCCAATTTAAGGTAATGAAGTAGATTCCGAAAAGAAACGAAGGGAAGAGACTGAGGTATAAAAATCTGGAGAAGAGGAAAGTCAAGCCCAGAGGTACGTGAAGATTAATCCGTTACTGTTTATTGAGCTTTTACTTTGCGCTCGGCTCTGAGCCAGTTCTGCTCCGCTACCCCGTGGGGAGTGTGATAAATGAAAAGACACTGTCTTCCTAAGGGGGGAACTTGAAAAATCAGCGAGACAAACGTGCGAAGTTAACATGTCAATGGAGTACAATATCTTGCAATATATAAGGCAAGCTATAAAATTGTTCATATCTTTTAATCAGTTCCACTTTGGGGAATATCTTTCAATGATATGACCTTAAAAAAAATGAGTGCACAAAGCTATTCATAGCATATTATCTAAACAACAAAAATTTGAAGGGGAAAAAAAACAAATCTAACCAAAAGGAAATGGCTAATTAGCTTCTGGCATATTGGCCTCGGGAATTCTTACGCAGATCACAAAATGGCAATAGCCTTATCAGTTAATACTTGAAAAAATACCAAATATGTACATGAAGGTTCAACTGCATAAAATGTAGTATGCACATAAAGGTTAAAGGTAAAGAATGAATTTGTATAGTTTAATATGCCTTTCATTCTTTTTTTCTATGTACTTAAGTGCATAATAATTCTTTCCAATTCAAGTCTGTCCTCAGTGCATTCCTCCCACTCAAAACAAACTGCTGTCTTGTAATCTTCCTTTTACCACCTTCATTTCTAAAAATGCACTAACTTCATTACATGAGAGCAAATACTTCTTCCAATTAAGTATTTCTAGCATACAGTATAGATTTCCCTGTGGTTCCTAGAAAGCAAAATATAACAAAAGTCAAAATCCTTGCTCCTATTTTAATGTCATAAAACCCTTCTGGAAGTTTGTTTGGCAAACTCTATCAAGAGTGCCACCTCTGATGTAGTAATTCAACTTTTAGAAATCCAGAGTTTTTACCTGAGACTCAGGCAGCTTAGAAGGCTATTCATTTCACTGTTATTTAGAATAGTGAAAATCAGAAACGTGCTAACTGTTCATTACTATTGGAATGGTTAGGTACATCTGGAATAGTCACAGGACAGAATATTATATAGTCATCAAAAATCTTATTTTCAAAAAGTAAGAAATGAAGGAATATAGGTCAAGACAACTGTATCTGCCATTCCCATTCCTCTAAAAGGTTCCTTCTTCAAAAATTATCTTATGGCACTACATGACCCCTTCTCCCTCTTTGCAGCAGTTTGTGGACTGGCATGGACAATAGACCCAAGGGCAATAGATCTGTAGAAAGCTTGTTAAAGCTCTACCCAAACACTGTTCAAGGAGAAAGAGGGGTTGAAGTGGATTGAATAATGGTTTAAAGGTGCATTGGGTAGGCAAGTGGTGTACACCAGGCAGCAAGAACCACAAGGAAGCAGAAATAACGAATAATCAGAAGATATAGGGAGTAGCAGCTGAGTTACAGAGAAACAGCAGTAACATGGGTCTTTACAAGATTCTGAGTAGAACTGCTTGGATTCTAGGAGCCTCTAAAATAACTGAAAGTAAAAACTAAAGGCAAGGTGCAAAGATGTATATACTGTATTTTAAAATATGTATAAATTATTCACATTCAACAACATTTGGAAGGAATACATCAACATTTTCATAATGGTGGTGAGACTACAAGTGATTTTTATTTTCTACAATGATCATAATTTTAAAAACAACTTAGAATTAATTAGAATGAAGACCATCAATAGTCAAAAATTCTAATCAGAAAATAAGTTGCAAGTGGTCAAAGTGACTAGCAGACATAATTTTCTGAGATCACAAATGGTTCAAGGGAAGGGTGGCTGGGTCTTTTAAGGACTAAAATGATTTGACTAAATGAAGAGGAGTAGGTGAAATGAGAAGAAGATGAAGCCAAGGCAAGCTGAACAGGCAGAGGTGGAGGGGACTGAAGAGGATGTCCCGAATAAAATGTCTGATACAAAGGTGTAAGCTAGGGAGAGGTGCTGGGTAGGAAGGGGGAACTGGAGATAAATTATCTGGAGATCATTGTTAATTGGGTTGATAATTAAAGAGTAGTAACTGGATAGTTTGTAGCATAGCCTTTTCTTTATTATTACTACCATTTATTCAACTTTGAAAATTTCCTCAGCTACCATTTTATTCCAGGTCTTAACAACCTAGGCCTAAATTATGACGTATCTAGCTTGTTTTCTGAGCTCCGGGACCTCTCTATTGTAATCTCATTTTTACATAGCTGTCATAAAATCATTCTTCTCATGTAATTTCCCTATTTGTTTTTTTTACCACCACGTCAAATCTAAGTTTTTTATTTAACAACGACGAAAAAATCTCAGTCCCTTCCACCTTCATCAACTGACTGCCCCAAACTTGCCTATTACATCCTCAAAATCAGTCTTTCCCCAAATCAGCCTTTTGACTGCTAGCAAGTCAGTCTCCTTACCTTCTCCCTCACTTCAGGCACTTCCCACCTTTAAATCAGGGCAGATGTTTATCTCCTAAGTAGAAGGCCCTCCAACTTTCACTCCTGCAAATCATTACAATCAGCCTCTTTCGGAGCTGGCCTAAAAGCTCTCACCTTCTGGAAACCACTTTCCTAGTAACAACTGGGCTTCCAGATTCCCCATCCCCTACCCCCACTAGTACATTATTATGCAGTCACAGCTTTTGTTCTGAGTTCCCTGCTGGGTTCTCTCTCTTTGCATTGTAACTTCAGGGGCAAGGACTATGCACTTGCTCCATTCGTATACCTTACTGAGCACAGTGCTGGCCGAAATGCTCTTAAAATGTTTAATGAATTAACAAAATTAGAAGTTCCCTAGAATAATACGGGATTGTGGAAAAGATGTGTAGGCGTTTCCCTTGTTTCCACAGTCTCCATATGGGAAGAAATGGCAATTTGCCCCTTTCCCAAGGTAAGCAGACAGTTTCCTAAACAAGATTAAGATTTAATGACTCGAATACTCAATTCTGAGGCCATATGCAGCTTCTTCTGAAGTGGATGCAACACAAACTGGTTTTGTTTCTATATCCTGAGAGGAAGGTGTGAATGAATTAAAGGAAGACAAAGCACACTGCAAATTTTTTAATCTTTAGAGCTGCTTTTTATGCTTTGATTTTTAGAATTTTCTAGTCCAGTCTTTCATGAATCTGAGAAATAACAGGAATCCTAATTGTAGACAAATGAATTTTTGAGCTTGTTAACTTTGAGGAAGTCACTTTCAAGGATTTTCAGAGTTTTACATACTGAATGTTCCTATCCAACTTTAAAGTTATATAAAGTTATAACTTATGACAAATTTTTTGAGTACCTATGTGCCTGGCACCATGCTAGGCACTGAAAAATCCACAGCCTTCATTTAAATGTTACAAGGAGATGAAGGATTGAATGGAGAAGTAGGTAAAAAGAATACTGAAGAGCTCAGACCTCAAGTTTGATTAACATGCAGCAACACAGTGCAGTTGAATTTTTTTTAATGAACGACCCAAAGAACCTTAAATCTGTGGCAGATACGTAAGAAAGAAGTTGAGAGTAGTGTTGAAAACAGAACCGCCGATGACCGCTGATGGCAAGATTTGGCTTCAGTAAGTGAATAGAGAGGAAAGAGAACAGAAAAAATGGTTTTAGAACTAGCTTTTTTTTTTTTTGCGGTACGCGGGCCTTTCACTGTTGTGGCCTCTCTCGTTGCGGAGCACAGCCTCCGGACGCGCAGGCCCAGCGGCCATGGCTCACGGGCCCAGCTGCTCCGTGGCATGTGGGATCTTCCCAGACCGGGGCACGAACTCGTGTCCCCTGCATCGGCAGGCAGACTGTCAACCACTGCACCACCAGGGAAACCCAGAACTAGCGTATTTTTTTTTAAAAAAAGGAAAGAACGAGGATGGTGGCAGATAGGGGAGATATAAGTGCAAGTTGAGAAGTAGGTGGTACCAAACGTGATTTAATTTTAAAGACCATTAAGTGTTTATTTAGAGGTCTGTGAGGGAAACTTGTACCTTGGAGGTAAATTACCAATGTAGGCCTACTGGAAACTGAAACTGAGCCCAGGGTTTTGGCATTAATGGAAGAAAAATTGTGAAGCTAGTGAATGTCTCTGTCCTTTTAACATCCTCACCACCTCCACCATACTCAGTTTTTCAGGGATCGTCAGGCTGCTTGTGCCCAGGGCTTTACCTCAATCTATCAAGGCCTTTCTCTCTTTCCTCCCATCAAAACTCTCCCCATTTTGTTCTAGGACTGTTATCACAACCTTCCATTTTTCTAAGGAGCCCAATTATCATGTAGTAAATTGACCCA